GTGACAGAGCACTGGAACAGGCTGCCCAGAGAGGTTGTGGAGTCTCCTTCTCTGGAGATCTTCAAAACCCGCTTGGACGCAGTCCTGTGCCACGTGCTCTAGGTGACCCTGCGTGTGCAGGGGGGTTGAACTAGATGACCTCTAGAGGTCCCTTCCAACCTTAAGCATTCTGTGATTCTATGACTTGTTGTCCCGGGACAACGAGGAACCACATGGGTCAGGAAGAGCTGGATGCAAAACCTAAACTAAAGCAGACTCATATCAAGTTAACCTGTAGACTTGGGAGTTGAATATCCCTCCCAGTGCAAAAGGATTCAAGAGGTTTATTCCTGTGGTGGCTGGCTCTGCTGACTGCTCCAGAAATACTCAGGAGAAGCTACATTATTTATGGAGTCAGGCATGCCATATCTCAGATGTTTCCTTCTGTGCATTCCTATATCTGTAAAATTAACCCCAAGCCGGCTGTCCCGATGTCCAGTCCATGCTAGTCCAGGTTCATTTGCTGCTCGGGTAGAGCACAGGGCTTGGAAGGACCGTCTGAGCTGCCCTTTGGGCATGCAGCCCTGTGACCACGCTCCCGGCCCCACCTGCTGCCACGGTGCCCTCACAAGCTGCTGGTGCTGGGGCCGGCGAGGTACCTGCTCTGCCCTGCCAGGCAGCTCCCTAGTGACATCTTGCCCACAGGATACTTGTGATCTCTGTCCAGCTGCCCATAAACAGGGCGTGTGTTGGCATTTGCTTTGCATGATGCAGTCACAAAGAGAGACTAGTGGAAATTGCTGGTCCAGGCAAATTCCTCGTCTCTCTGAGCTGGAGTTCCTGTTCTCTGCACATCCTCACCGCGAGCTGAACTCACTGGAGATCCTCAGAGCTGCCAGCCTGGCTGCCAGCCCCATCCTTCTGCTTGCCAGGGCAGGATGATGCTTTGCTGCTCCTATCTTCCTTGAGAAGTAGTAGCTCAAGTGCTCTGAAGCATGAGTAGATGCCAGGATCTCTCCGACTCCATATGCCACCATCTCGGTATGTGACAGAATAAATCACAGACCTCTTCATCACCTAGCCTACAACTGTAGCCTTGAGTGCTCTCCTCACGATGTTCTTCCTTGCAAGCCTGTCTTTTTTTTAGCTTTAGCCTTCATCTTGTCAGCTGCCACGAGAGAGCAGCACAGCATGGTGCCAACCACGGCTCCAGGAGGCGTTCAGTGCTGGGAACTGACTCACAGATCTGCCGGAGAACCCGGCTCTGCTCTGTGCCAAGGGGAGCAGCGCTGCCCGCCGTGGCCTGCGCGGGAAGGAGCCCTCCGTGCCCATGAGCAGCACAGGGGTGACTGGAGCACTTGGCAACATCCATTTGGCAGTGTTTCCTTATGGGTCCTCCTTGGACCCAAGCACGAGCAGGCAGTGCTGAACCTGGACTTCTCTGCACTCTCTGGGAACCTTGAGACCAGACCATCTTCCTACTCTTTGATCCCATAGACCCCTCCAGAGCCTGGCCTTCCAGCAGTCACTTGACCTACAAAACCTGGCAGCCATAAACTTCTCACCCTGGAGTGCCTCGAGCTGTGCTTTGGGTCAAGGTGATGACAAGGAGACCTCGAAGGAGAAGCTGGGCCAAGGTGCGGCTCTTCCAGCCTCTGAGCCTGCACGCTTCCAGAGCTTGCGTACTCATCCCATTCACCACCACATTCCCGTGGGATAAGGGACCCTTATGGGGATGCGCTGCCCACCAGGCTGCATCGCAGCGCCAGCCCTGGGAGCTGCTTGCTCTGCATCCTGCACCAACCTCACCTCCCTCAGAGCATCCGTGCATGCCTGGGTTGCCCTGCAGCCGCTGGCAAAGCCCTCCCGAGGCTTCACTGTGAGGGAGAAGGCCCTCCTGCTGACCCAGATAAATCTGTGCTCGTAGCTCAGCATAGCCTTTAGCAATCGAGCCCCCTCCGACTTAATACCCAGGGATAAACTGAGCCTCTTTCTAGGATGTGGTGCAGCTGCCCACGCTGTGGCTGAGCTCTTGCTTGTGGTCACTGGTATTATTTCAACAACCCATTTCTTAAATGCCAGTGAAGTTGGGCAAGAAGAATTAAAAACAAGACCATACGGTGGAGAAGAAATTGTCTCTAATTGGTGTGTCTTGGCTCTCGGGAGGAAACATTAAGATCCCGCCTGTCTTCATGGCTGCTGCCTGTTTCTGCTCCCATCCCTGCGCTCCCAGACGCCCTCACCGTGAGCCTGGTCAGGAGCGCTCTGCATCGCTGTTTCCAGCCCTGCTCCTTGGGAGTGGGTGCAGACATCCCAGTTGCTTCTGCTGGCATGTTCTGCTTGCAAATCTCCCTCTGGAAGCCCAACTGGATGCCCAGCTAACAGGTCTAATGGCTGTGCCTGATCCTCCACCCACTCGTTTTTCCCTTTCTGCTGCTTATTTTGGAGCCAGAGACCTCTTTTCTCTAGCACAGCTGGACTTGTGCAGCCCTCCGTGGTACCTGTGAGCACCCCAAAACAGCAAATCGCATCCTCCTCCCTGGACGTTGCAGGGAGTCCGGGGCGGCGGGGGAGCAGTCGCCGCGCCCCTGGGAGCACCGCGG